ATATATAATCTGCTCTCTCCCTCTCCCTCGTTCTCCGTCTCTCTCTCCCTCTTTCTCCCTCCCTCTTTCTCTCCCACTCTCTCTCTCTTTTTCTCTTCTTTTTTTGTGTTTGTTACTTCCATGTGGCACCTCTAATCCCCTGCACTTATATGCGAGCTAACTGTGTTGAAAGTGCTGTAAAATGCTTACAAAAAAAGTGTACAGAATGCATCAATTCCTCTGTGTTTCGCTCTTCAGGCACTGTGTTTCTCTGGATCTACTGGCCTTCCTTCAACGGCGGTTTCGACCCTGTCTACAAAGAGCGCGCCTACCTTAACACTTTCCTGTCTCTGTGCGCGTGCACCGCCGTCACGTTCGCTGTGTCGGCAATGCTGGACAAGCGCGGACGATTCGATATGGTGAGTAATATTGAATGCTGCATTGTGGGCTATTGGTGAATAACACTTTTTTGATAATTGTTTTGCGGCGCTCGCAACTGCATAAGGTAATATGAGCGCGCTGGAAACATTAAACTTTTTCAGTTGGTAAAAATTTTGAATTTTGCGGGGTGGTGGCCGAAGCCTACTCTAATCGATTGTAGACCATCAAGGTATCTTTAACTTGCGCAACTTACACACGAGCCCTCCGAGATTTTTCGCCCTTGTCCGAGAAGACTAGGTTTAGATCTTTCCTACCAAAAGATCAAGGGTGTGGCTGAAAGACAACAGTAAGAGGGAGCCAAGGACTAGCAGTAGAAAGGCTGCAGAAAGAGTCAGGAGCCCAGAGGAGGGGGCAACGGAGGAAGGGGCATAAAGTAGAGACGAAAGCAGATAACAGAACATTGAAAGAGAGCAGGAAAGGAGGGGAAATGGGACAATTTTAAAGAAGAAAAAAATTCGGGGGGCAAATGAGGTGAGGGGGTGAGATAGAAAGAGGAGACAGAACATTGCTAGAGAGCAGGAAAGGAGGTGAAAAGAGACAATTTTAGAGAAGAACATTTTTTTATCACTTCCCGGATTCGAACCCGTGACCTTTGAATGAGAGGTCAACACCTGAACCTCTAGGCCACGAGAGCCCCCTGTGAGTAGCACTGAATGAGAAATTATGGTGAGTAATATTGGAAGCTACATTGTGGGCTCTGTTGTTCAATAGGTATGGTGCTCGCCTGGTTAACCCGAAGGTCCAAGGTTCGATCCTCGTCAATCCCAATCTATCAACGTGTCTCTATTTATCTTCTAAAAAATGTCCTTAAAATGTTCTTTTCAGCTGATTATGTAGCCTATCCATCTATCTGTCTGTTTACCTGTCTATTGATCTATCGATCAGTATATCTATCCACATATTTTGCTGTTTCTTTTCATAAATATATATAT